GACCCGGCGCGCCATCGGGCTGCGTTGGCAGCGCGGGGGATCCCAGAGAAGATCGGCGCTGCCGGAAGGCCAATTCCTAATGCCCTGCGCACCCACCAAGATTTTGCACGGTGGTGTCAGGTGGCTCTGCAGGAGAAGATCCAGGATCATTTTCGGGAGTCTGGCTTGTGCTCTGGCCTCCGCAAGCTGCTCCTCCTCCAGGGTGCCATGCAGGAGGTTGCGGAAGGGCGCCACCATCGCTGTCGCCAGTTGGCGCCGGCGACGGACGAAGAAGACCAGCTCGGGTTCGTAGTGCAATTCTTACGGGCAGCTGAGCCGTAGTCTATGTCGGAAATCTCCACTTGCCTTTTGCGCTATCCTCGCATTGCCGAGTTTGCGTCGAACCCGTGCACTTTCGGGAGACATCTCACGGTTTCATTGGGGCGACTGCAGGATCGCGCTGGTGAGCCTGCCCGGGCAATTGCATTGGGGCACCTGCAGTTGGGCCGGGAAGTTGCAGAAGAGCAGGACAGTTGGCAAGCATCGAGGAAACGTGAAACGGGCGGTCGTCTTCTGTGCCGTTTTGCGCCTGGGGCAGCATCGCCCATGGGGCAGCATCGCCCATCGGCGCTATTCTCGACAGGCGCGGCCGCGTCGTCACGGGCGACCAGGGCATGATCTCCGCGTTGCGGGAGCATTGGGCGAATATTTTCACGGCCCAGGGGGCGCGCGAAGAGCGACTGGCCGCGTGGCTGGACGAAGGCGCGATCCGGATCATTCTTCGCCGGGGGGGGGGGCAGTTATGCCGCAGGCACATCCGGAAGGCGCTCCAGCAGTCCAACAACTCCGCGCCAGGGCCAGGCGGCATCCCACATGGGGCTTGGCGGGCGCTGGGCGATGCGGCCGTTGGGATTCTCAAGGGTGCATTCGACGTGCTCATTGCCGCGGACGGCCAGGCTGTCTTGCGACGTGAGTGCCCAGACTTCGACGCCAGCCTGTAATTCTTTCTCCCCAGCGTGGTCCTACCGACGCTGATGGCACCGCGGTGTGCAGGGCAAACGGAGTCCGCCCACTCAATGCGACAGGCGTGGATAACCGGCTCATCGCCAGCGCTGTTCGCATTGTCTTTAAGCCAGCTGTTGACATGCTCACTATTTCCGACCAGCGGGGTTTCTTGACGGGTTGGTCGATGATCGCCACCTTGCTAGACATCGAGGACAGCATGATGCAGCAGGCTGGCCGCGGGGATGACAGCATGGCTATAGTTTACGACTTTGTTGCTGCATTCCCATCCATTGAACACCGGTTATTCCGCCAGTTTTTCCGGTGTTTGGAATGGCCAGAGTGGTTTTTGATGATCATCGCGGTGCTCTAGCATGGCAATCTCTGCCATATCTAATGTAAGGGGTGGTTATTATCCCGGCTTCGACATCAGTCGGGGTGCCCGCCGAGGCTGCCCTCTCTGGCGTTTACAGCCGCATTCGGGATCGGGAGGGCTTCTTTGCAGATTTTGCCCGTGCTTCTGGGTTTCATCTCAACGTAGCCGAGGCGGTAATTTTCACTGTGGCAGTGTACCGACGCGGAGGTCCAGAGCTGCGTTCAACTTGGGGCCCCATCGTGGGGGGGCGCGAAAATTGCCGATGCCGCCGAGTACCTTGGACTCTTCGTCGGCCCGGGCAAGGAGGCACAATCGCGGAAGGGCCCGATTAGGAAACGCCTTGACCGGTCGGCCCAACGGGGCATGCTCGGCCTTGGTCTTCTGCTTACCCCGCAGGCTCTCCAGACGCGCGTTGCTTCAGTTCTTCACTTCGTCGCGCAGCTCGTGGATTTGCCGGGCGATTTCGAGGTGCAGGAGCAGAGAGCCACCAGGGCCCTTTTACCAGGGCCTACCGACTGGATTACACCGGTCTTTTTGAAAGACGCGCGTTTTTGGTGGATATGCATGCAATTTCTGATGCTGCGAAAGCCCTGGTGGTCTACTAGGACGACCGCGCCTATGGCGGACTGGATGTTCGACGGAGATCATCGAGCTTGTTGAGCGAGGCGGGGTCGAACGTCGGAGTCTGTCACGTCTCGTGGTCGCAGCAATGGGCAGCCGATACTGTTCTTCAAGATCGACCGCGCCAGGCGCGAGTTCGCCGCGAAACAGCCTGGCAGCTCTTTCCCCCATGAGGACCTCAACAAGAAGGTTGGGTGGCAAAGGGAAGCAACCGTTCTTTTCCGAAGGTGTCCCACGGTTGCTTCGTTCACCCATTCGAGAAGACGCGCGGATCGCTGGAAGTCATTGAACACCCTTCCTGGGCACAGGCCCGCTCGGGTCTGCGCCGTTCCGCGGGTGCTCGGCCAGCAGTGCACTCCCCGGGTTCAGGCGGCCTACGCGCGCACCGTCTGCAACGCATGGTGCACGAAGGGGTGATTCCAGCAGCGGGGATTATGCCGTTTCGGTTGTGGTCCAGGCTCCGACAATTTGGAGTATTTCGCAACCTGTCCTGTTGTCCGGTCGCTTCTGGACAGCTCTGGTTCCTGGCACTGGTCTGTTCATGTCAGTGCATTGGATAGTTTGTTATGCATGGGTGTGGGTACTGACAACAATCTGGCCGTGCAGAAGGGTCTCAGCCTCTATGCGCTCTACCATTTATACACCGGTTGACGATATCGCACCTACAAGCTGGATGAGTTCTTCGACGCCTTCCTCCGTCTGCGGCAGGAAGGCGGCCGCTAGCTTGAAACGCATATTCTCCGTGATGCCGCGCGCTGGACTTTGCCATGCTGAGTGCCTCCAGCAAAGTACTTCCGACAAGTTGCGCTTCTGTGGGCAGAGCAGACGCTCCTAATACTTACTGCGAGCGCCTTCTGATCGCCAGCCCTCGCGTCAGCCTTTTTTCCGTTCCTCCTCCTCCTCCTCCTCTTCTTCCTATTTTCCCTCCTAACATAATGTCGTGTCAGATTTATTAGTGCGGCCGTTTGGGACACCCAGTAGGGATTATAACGCAAACTCTGTGCAGCCGCGGGGCCGATACGCTTCAAAGGGAAATCGTATCATTCGCCATCTAGGTTTTCTTTCGTCGGTCGTATGCTGGCCCGGAAGAGGGGGACCAAACATATCAGTGATGCACGGATGCCGTGGTTAGGTAAGCTTGAGAGAGGGACAGAATCCATGGCACCGTCTGCCCGATCTTGCTCGGTGCTTGGATCGCCGCCAGGCGATGCGCCCTTGCACGGCCATCTTCCTGGACGCGCCCGGACGCGCCGCACAGTGGAAAACCGTGCCACGAAACGCCTTGCGTGCGTGTAGTCGTTCGATGGACAGTGTGACGTTCCCGCCCCAAAAAACAATGGACGTCCTGGGGTTCATGTTTGGGTTTCTTTTGTGGAACGTTTCTTGTGGTCGAGCTCCTAGTGTAATCCACGTCAGCGCGTGCCCGATCCTGCTCGGATCGCCACCGAGCGATGCCCCCCTGCGCTGCCCTTTTTTCCTGGACGCGCCCGGGCGCGCCTTTACTTTTCAAAAACGACCTGGGCGTTGTTTTAGCGTTTTCTATTTTGGGCTCTTTACAGGCTGGGAACGCTTAAACAAAACGCTTGTTTTTTATAGCGTTTCTGAGCAGTTGGTTTTGCGTTGGTTTGTGCGTTTTCAGGCTGGAAGCGGTAAACCCATGTTTGAAACGCTAAAACAACGCATAATTCATTTAGCGTTTTTAGTTTTTGGTTGAGACCTGAAAGCGCTAAACAATCATTTCCAAGACGCCGAGCTGAAAACGCTAGAAAAACGCCCCGGTCATATTTCAGGCGGAGGCCTGGGCAGCGGCACGCCGCCTCTCAAGACCTGCGTGGCCTGACGGTGCCGCCTTCCTCTGCCTCCCCGGCGGTGGCGGGGGCGGTTCTGGCGCGCCACCCGCCAGTGGAAGGGCAGAAACTTACAATAGTGTGCTAATTATTTGTGGAGCAGGGGATCGACTGCAGATCTGATTTACCCCACAATTGATTTTCCGTCGAATCCACGAACGGATTCGTATAATGCTTGCATTCTACATAATTTCCCCAGGCTTGACGAACACATGAATTTGGGGGTAAATCAGTTCTGCACTCGATCCCCCGCTCGAGTCCGAAGGGGTCGCGGGTTCCAGGGGCCGACGCCTCAAATGGGATGCCCTCCTAAGTGGGGGCAGGGCCCCGGCGAGGACCTCGCCGCCGGGCTGGAGCAGGAGCGCGACGCGCTCGTGGCGCGCGCGGCCGAGCAGGCCAGGGGCTACATCCTCCGTGGCAGTGATTTCTTTTTCTGTTGGTTGATGGGTCGGGTGGGGGTGGGCAGGTGCTCGATATAAGTTTTCGTCGTCGTCGTTGTTGTTGTCGTCGTTGTTGTCGTTGCCGCTGTCGTTGTCGTTGTTGTTGTCGTTTTTGTTGTCGTTGTCGTTGTTGTTGTCGTTGTCGTTGTCGTTGACGTGCTTGTCATCGTTGTCGCCGTTGTCGTGGTGGTTGCCGTTGTCGTTGTTGTTGTTGTTGTCGTTGTCACTGTCATTGTCGTTGCCGTTGCTGTTGTTGTTGGTGTTGGTGTTGGTGTTGTTGTTGCTGCTGCTGTATTCGTCGTCGTCGCCGTCGTCCTTGTTCTTGTTGTGATTGTTGTTGTTGCTGCTGTTGTTGAGTTCCCACTATTTAAGAATACTTATTCTGGATCCCCCCCCCTCCGGTGCACATTATATGTTTTCAATTGAAGTGCCCCTCCCGGCGCTCGCACCCTGTTTGTTCACAGGGAAAGTCTTCGTCCTCAAATTGTGTTGTTGGCCCCCGGGTTACAACAATCACGGCCCCCGCTTGAGGTATCCTCACAATTTATTTAGCCAGGACCCCCGCTCCCGCCTGAGACTTCCTCGCATTTTATTTAATCGCTTCGCTCATTCCGCCGGCCCGTATTGGTGCACGGCTGTCGAGTGCCCGTGTGATCGTTGTCAATGGGGTGCTGCTGGGTCGTTTTTTTGTTTATGGATGGCTGGCTTTGGGTGATTTTGCAGGCGGGAACGATTCTTTGCCCGCCTGAACCTTCTGTTCCGGAAGGTGGCGGCTCGTAGATACGATCGCAGGGAACAAGACATTATTCTGCAGTTTTCTTTTCTTCTCTACTTCATCGCTCCGCTGCTATGTGTCGTCGTGTGTGACCGGGGGCGGGGTTCTGGGGGTAGCAGGGTTGAAGCGCGAGCGTGGAAATGGCGAGTGGCAGAGGAGGAGGAGGAGGAGGAGGAGGAGGAGGAGGAGGGGGGAGAGGAGGAGGAGGTGGAGGAGGAGGGGGAGGAGAAGGCGGAGGGAGTAGAGGAGCAGTGGAAGAGGGAGGAATGAGGAGAGGTACGACTTTGTGAAGGGCTGTGCGAAACTGTGGCTGATGTGAACGCGGGCCCTGGGGACTTTGGTGGAGCTTGCTATAATTTGGCCACGGGCCCCGTGGAAGGAGTGCTGTATCGAGGCGGGGCCCCTTGTCTGACCGCGGGCCCAGGGGATTCCATTTGAGTTTCCTGTGGGGCCACGATCCCCGTCAGGTGTGCCGAACGGAGTCGGTGGCCGCTCTGTGTCCGCGGGCCTTGGGGCTTGTTGGTGCAGCACCGGGCGGGGCCTTCTATGTGGCTGGCGGCGAGTTCCCTGTGGGGCCACGATCCCCGTCAGGTGTGTGCTGAACTGAGTCGGTGGCCGCTCTGTGGCCGCGGGCCTTAGGACTTGTTGGTGCAGCTCCGACCGAGCGGGGCCTTCCATGTGACCGCGGTCCCTGGAGTCTTCGGTGGAGCTCCCTGTGTGCCATGATCCTCGTCAGGGGTGTACCGAATCGAGGCGAGGCTCCCTGTGTGCCATGATGATCCTCGTCAGGGGTGTACCAAATCGAGGCGAGGTCCCTTGTGAGGCTGCGTCGCCTGGGGCATGCGGTGGAGCTGCTTGTAAGACTACGAAGCGGGTGAGGGGTGCGCTCAGGGAGGTGGCGGAGGAGAGGGAGAAGCAGAATGAGGAGAGAGAGAGAGAAGTAAGTAGGAGATGGACGGAGGACGTGGGGAGGTGTTCAGGGACAAGCGTGGTCGTGAAGAGGACGCCTCTTTGGGATGTTTCTTGGGGTCTCTTGGGGGCCTCTTGGGAGGCCTGGCGGTGCGGGGTTGCAGGGTCGGCGGCAGTTTTTGTCTAATTACCTTCGGCACATTCGCCACCGTGCTTGGGTGGTGGCTCCCAGGCTTCGTGGACGTTCATCGGGATCTCGTTGGATGCCTCTCGAGGGTGTTCTTGGAGACTCTCGGGAGTCGTTGTCGAGCCTCTTGGGGTCTCTTTCGGGCCCCTTGTCGCCTTTGGGGGCCTCTTGGGGGCTTCTTGGAGCCTCCAGGAGGCCTCTTGGAGCGGAAGGCTCGGATTCTCTGTTCGTGGTCTCCATCTTGGGCCCTTCTTGGGGCCCTCTTGGGGTCCTCTCGGACCGTCTTGGGCGCCTCTTGGGCTGTCGTGGGGCCCTCTTGGGCGGACTTGGGGCTCTCTTGGAGGCCTCTTGGGCCGTCTTGGGGTGGTCTTGGAGGCTTCTTGGGCCGTCTTGGAGCGTCGGAAACGCGAAAAGGCGAGGAGGCAACCGACCTTGCAAAACCCAAAGGAAATCAATGGTTTTGGCGCTCTGAGGCTTCGTGGACGTTCATCGGGATCTCGTTGGATGCCTCTCGAGGGTGTTCTTGGAGACTCTCGGGAGTCGTTTTCGAGCCTCGTGGGGTCTCTTTCGGGCCCCTTGTCGCTTGTTGGGGCCTCTTAGGAGCCTCTTGGGGGTCCAGGAGGCCTCTTGGAGCGGAAGGTTCGGATTTTCGGTTCGTGGTCTCCATCTTGGGCCCCTCTTGGAGCCCTTTTGGGGTCCTTTTGGACGGTTTTGGGCGCCTCTTGGGCTGTCGTGGGGCTCTCTTGGACGGTCGTGGGCCTCTCTTGGAGGCCTCTTGGGCCGTCTTGGGGTGGTCATGGAGGCTTCTTTGGCCGTCTTGGAGCGTCGGACAGGCGAAAAGGCGAGGAAGCCAAAAACCTTGAAAGCCCAAATGGAAATCAATGGTTTTGGCGCTCTGAGGCTTCGTGTACGTTCATTGGGATCTCGTTGGATGCCTCTCGAGGGCTTCTTGGAGACTTTCGGGAGTCGTTGTCGAGCCTCTTGGGGTCTCTTTCGGGCCCCTTGTCGCCTTTGGGGGCCTCTTACAGCCTCCAGGAGGCCTCTTGGAGCGGAAGGCTCGGATTCTCTGTTCGTGGTCTCCATGTTGGGCCCCTCTTGTGGCCCTCTTGGGGTCCTCTTGGATCGTCTTGGGCGCCTCTTGGGCTGTCGTGGGGCCCTCTTGGGCGGTCTTGGGGCTCTCTTGGAGGCCTCTTGGGCCGTCTTGGGGTGGTCTTGGAGGCTTCTTGGGCCGTCTTGGAGCGTCGGAAACGCGAAAAGGCGAGGAAGCCCAAAACCTTGAAAAAACCGAATGGAAATCAATGATTTTGGACTCTTGGGGCTCTCTTGGAAAGGGTCGGGGCTCTCTTGGGACGTCTTGGAAGCTTCTTGGGCCGTCTTGAGGCCGTGTTGGGCGTCTTGGGCCGATCGTTCGGTGATTCGGAACTCTCTTGGACCGTCTTGGATTCTTGTTGGGGCCCTCTTGGAGCGCTCCGGGGAGCGTGGAAGGCCGCACCCAGGAGGAAACCATCTCTGAACTGAGTTTGCCGGGAGTGTCCCGGGACCTTGCGGGGGTACTTTTCGCCCGGGGCCCCCCAGGGGCCGCCCCGCGCGCGCGAACTAGAAATATTGTTAAGTAGTTACCGGAGATCTTAGCACGCCTTTGGCCCGTTGGGCCAGCGAATTCAGGAATCGCGCTCTCGCTTGGGACTTCCTTACAATTTATTCAGGCATCGTTCTCTCGGCGCTCTGGAGTCGCGCTTTCGCTGGAGAATTGCTTGCAATCTACTCAAAAATAACGCCCTTGCCTTGGAATTTCCCGCAATTTACTCATACGCCGCGCTCACGACACTGAGGCACCCATGAGTCGCGCTCATGCTAAGGACTCCCTCACAGATTTGTAGGAATCGGGATCTCGCTGCCCTTCGTGACCCCGTTGCAGCCCTTCGTGGCCCCCTCGCTGTCCTTCGTGGCCCCGTTGCAGCCCTTCGTGACCCCCTCGCTGCCCTTCGTGGCCCCGTTGCAGCCCTTCGTGGCCCCCTCGCTGCCCTTCGTGGCCCCGTTGCAGCCCTTCGTGGCGCCCTCGCTGCCCGTCGTGGCCCCGTTGCAGCCCTTCGTGGCCCCCTCGCTGCCCTTTGTGGCCCCGTTGCAGCCCTTCGTGGTCCCCTCGCTGCCGTTCGTGGCCCCATCTATGTATGCCCTTCGTGGCCCCCGCTCGTTCGCGCCCGTCGTGGCCCCATATGCATGCCCTTCGTGGCCCCGCTGTCGCCCTTCGTGGCCCCCTCGCTGCCCTTCGTGGCCCCGCTGCTGCCCTCTGAGGATCCGTCTTTGCCCTCTGCGGCCCAATATACGTATGCCCTTCGTGGCCCCCGCTCGTTCGTGCCCGTCGCGGCCCCATCTGCATGCCCTTCGTGGCCCCGGTGTCGGCCCCCTCGCTGTCCTACGTGGCCCAAATGCTACGCTCAGTGGCCTCCGTCGTTGCCGTCTGTGGCCCCGCATTATCTGCCCTTCCTGGCCCCCGCTCGTTCGCGCTCTTCGTGGCCCCATACGCATTCCCTTCGTGTCCCCGCTTTCGCCCTTGGTGGCCAACTTCGTGCCCTTCGTGGCCCTGCTGGCGTTTTCTCTCGCTCTCGCTTTCGCTCGTCGCCGTCGTCGTCGTCGTCGCCGTCGCCGTCGTCGACGTGATCGTCGTCGTCGTCGTTGTCGTCGTGGTCGGTTCCCTGTCCGTCCCTCTTGGGGTCGGGTTGCCGCCGATCAGCGCTGCCGATGGCCAGGCCGACGGTCCGCGGTCGCCCCGCCGCTTGCTGGGGCCCGGCCTGCAGGGAAGAAAAGTGTACCCCCCAAAAGGGGTACGATAAAAGACAAAGGGGGCGGGTATCGAGGGTTTGGGACATACGCGTTAACGGGCATTCGAGCAGATAAGAGTGATCAGTCTTAAAATGATTGTTATTGTTGTCGTTGTCGTGGTCGTTGTTAAAGGTGTGGTTGTTGCCTTTGTTGTTAACCATTGTCGAGTGGAGGGCGATGCGCCTTTGCGCGGCCCTCTTCCTGGACGCTCCGCACAGCGGAAACCCATGCCAACAAACACCCTGCTTGCCTCCAGGATGT